CAAGTGTGTGGTGGTGGGAGACGGGTAAGTCAGCCCCGGGGCGGGGAGGGCCCTCGCGCGCGCCCCCTCACTCGGAGGCCTCTCCTTTCCCTCGCGCCCACCCCCATTTCCCCTCAAAAAAGGGACCATCCTGAAGAGAAATAATGGGACCACCCCCACCCCCGACTGAAATGGGCCTAGACGCGAGTGTGGGCTGAGGCGACTTCCTGAGGCGTCTTTTAACAGGATGGGGGGGGTTTGAGGTGGGGGGGGAAGGGAGAGCCTCGGATCAAACTTTCTCTGACGTCCAGGACTCGTTGTGGGGCCTCCCTCACAAGACCCCCCCTGAGGCTGCTTGGTGGGCAAGGTCGCCGCCCCCCGACCCATTTCGCCTCCAGAACTGTCCGTATCGATTGACTGCCTTTCTTTCGCCCCGGGGGCTCCAAGGAGCCTTCAAGCGCGGCTCTCTTCCCCTCCCGGCTGGCGCTTCTGACGACAACCCTGTGAGGTGGGGCAGCCAAAACGAATGGGCCAGCGCTCTCTAGTCTAGAGAGGACTCAGTGAGGACTAGAAGCTTGGACCCCTTGGGCTCCAGCCCACTGATGACTCTACCCCCAATCAGGGTGTGGAGGGGAGGTGTTAATTTGCCAGACTCTTGCATTCCAGTTGTCTTTTTGCACCTTTGGTGCTGTCTTGAATCCCCAGCTCTATGATTATTTGTGCTACGTTTTGTTTAAAGAGTAGGACTCATTTGCTTTCTCCTCGTTTCTTTGCACCCACTGTATACTAACAACAGGAATTTACTTAGAATTAATACTGATTTCAGTGGTATAGTAAGTGTATTTGGAATTGTGGCCCAAGTTGTTCATGGAAGTTGTACTATGTGCCTTGTAGATTTGCCAACTCAATCTTAGGGAAGTCAGTACTGTACGTTATTCCTGTGTAAAGGTGTACACTTTCAAGATTTTCCACACCTGGATTGTTGTTCATTTCCTTTCTTCCACCCCATCCCCATTTCTTAGCTATTTCTAATCTTGCTTTATGCCATCATTGTGTGGCACATAAGCTATTTTGTGAGCCTTTCCCCACTCCAATAAACTCGATCCTTTGAGACAAGGCACTTTTTGATGTGGAGCTAAAAGCAACCTTAGTCTCTCGTTTAGAAATTACTAATTCATTGTTTCTGAAAAAGTAGAGTACAATCTTAAAAAGGAAACAAATGTGTTAGTCTTAAAGATACCAGAATGGTTTTAGTTTTCTTGTTGCTGAAGTCGACATGCAGAGCTGTCTCTCTGAAAACTGCATTCAGACAGAGTTGATTCTGAAGGTGCGGTTACAAAAGGGAGGAGTTACTATCCATGGGAGGCAAGTCTGCTGAGTATGTGTGCTTTCCCAGTGGTGCCCCAGAGTTTAGAGTGGTCAGCCAGGTCTTTGTATGCAGAAAGGAAATACAGTACTGTGTGTGAAGAGGACAGGGAGACTTAACAGGAGCTTCTCAAGTAAGGAAGTGATAACCATTTAGATTCTGGTGGGGCATAGACTGTATATACAGTAGTCCCTAACTGCTGCTGCCAGATGAGATGGTGTTCCCCAAATTCACTGGCTGATGTTGAGGTTTTCGTATTATTGCTCTACAACCTGCTGTGGTATTGGTGTAAAACCTCTGTTCTGTTTTGAGGTTAACGAAGGAAACCCACTTCCTGAAATGGTACCGAGGTTGTTCAAGACAGTGCTACTTAACTTGCGTATTAAAAAGCCAGTCCCGTTTAACTTATCTGGCCTAAATGAAGATAACTAAAGGTGTTTACTTACAAGTAAGTGGTGTCTCCTGCTTGAAGTGTTCAGGTTGAGTCAGACTGTAAGTAAATGCATGTTAGTGAAATGACTTCTTATTCCTGGCTTTTTGGAAGAGAACAAACATGAAATCTTATGCCTTATTTCTTGCAGGAGTAGGTGATACCTTTTATTGGACTACTTAAAAAGATAAACGAATAGCAGCCTTGTGTGGTTTTTCCATTCACAAAAGCTTGCTATTTGTTTAATTTTTAGTGGCCCAATAAAAGGTATCACCCTTTTATTTGTGCATTTGTGTAATCTTGGGGGCCATACATCCTTTTCCTTGTTCTTTCTAGCCTTATGTCTTAGGAATGTTATGTTAATGGCTGGTACACTGTCCTACCAGTTAGTGTGGTTGTGTATGGGCTAAGCATTTCTTTAGTGTTGCCTTATATTGTTGGCTTGTTTTCTGACTCTGAAGTTTGCATACAGGCTTTTTAATGACTAAATACATTGCAATAGGCGATTCACACAATTTTGGCATTGGAGCATTGCTGTATTTCACAGTAGAGACAACCAGAAAAATACTTTTATAATTGGAGATGGCAGCTTTTTTTCTCTCACAAGGGATCCCATGCTTGAAAGTTCCAAGGCATTTGGTCTTCCGAGCACCTAAAAATGTGAATATGGTATGCAGAACAGTTAGTGATTTATTTACCACTGAATAACATCTTAAATATGATTCTAATTCCCAAAAATTTATAATATTTTTCTAGTCCTGCCTTTTCTGGTGCTTGATTTGGTTTTTAGTGGTGCGGGAGTACTACAACTTATCCCTTAGTTTAGTATTCAGCACTTATTTTGTTGTTTAGTTGTTAAGTCATGTCCAACTCTTTGTGACCGCATGGACCAGAGCACGGCAGACCCTCCTGTCTTCCACTGCCTCCCGGAGTTGGGTCAAATTCATGTTGGTAGCTTCGATGACACTGTCCAACCATCTCATCCTCTGACATCCCCTTCTCCTCTTGCCTTCACACTTTTCCAACATCAGGAGTCTTCTCTTCTCATGAGATGGCCAAAGTATTGGAGCCTCAGCTTCAGGATCTGTCCTTCCAGTGAGCACTCAGGGTTGATTTCCTTCAGAATGGATAGGTTTGTTCTCCTTGCAGTCCAAGGGACTCTCAAGAGTCTCCTCCAGTACCACAATTCAAAAGCATCAATTCTTCAGGGGTCAGCATTCTTTATGGTCCAGCTCTCACTTCCATACATTACTACTGGAAAAACCATAGCTTTCTTTAATTTCTTTAATTTCTTTCTGCTATCATCTGTATATCTGCGGTTGTTGATATGTCTTCCAGCAATCTTAATTCCGGTTTGGGATTCCTCCAGTACAGCCTTTCGCATGATGTATTCTGCATATAAGTTAAATAAACAGGGAGACAATATACAGCCTTGTACTCCTTTCCCAATTTTGAACGAATCAGTTGTTCCATATCCAGTTCTAACTGTTGCTTCCTGTCCCACATATAGATTTCTCAGGAGATAAATCAGGTGGTCAAGCACTCCCATTTCTTTAAGGACTTGCCATAGTTTGCTGTGTTCCACACAGTCAAAGGCCTTTGCGTAATCAATGAAGCAGAAGTAGCTGTTTTTCTGGAACTCTTTGGCTTTCTCCATAATACAGCACATGTTAGCAATTTGGTTCCTAGTTCCTCTGCCCCTTCGAAATCTAGCTTGTACTTCTGGGAGTTCTCAGTCCACATACTGCTGAAGCCCACCTTGTAGGATTTTGAGCATAACCTTGCTAGCCCGTGAAATGAGTGCAATTGTATGGTAATGAGTGCAATTGTACAGTAAAGGGGAAAAATGACCAAATTCGGCCCCTGGGACTTTACCACTGTTCTCTTGCCATGTTTAATTCCTGTATGGGAATTATGAGCACTACAATACAAAAAAGATGCCGAGGCCTTGGAAGGGGTATAGAGAAGAGCAACAAAGATGATAAGGGGACTGAAGGCTAAATCCTATGAAGAATGACTAAAAGAACTAGGTATGTTTAGCTTAATGAAGAGAAGACTGAGTGGAGACATGATAGCAGTCTTCCAATATCTGAAGGGGTGCCATAAGGAAGAGGGCATAGATTTATTCTCCATTGCAAGTGAGGGTAGGACAAGAACCAATGTGTGGAAATTTGTCAGAGGGAGATCCAACCTGGAAATAAGAATTTCCTGACGGTGAGAACCATTAAGCAGTGGAACAGTTTGCCTCCCAATGTTGTGGGTGCCCCATTGCTGGAGGTTTTCAAGAAAAAATTGGACAGTCGTCTGTCCGGGGATGGTATGAGGTCTCCTATTTTGGGCATGGGTTTGGACTAGAAGACCTCCAAGGTCTCTTCCAACCCTATGACGATTCTATGTATGTGATTTCTGATCATGTGGAGAAGATCCTGAACAATGACCTGTAGTGCATCACCTTGAAAAGTATTCAGGAGCCATCAATGAAATTACCACATTAGATGGAGTGTTGCAAAGACATTATGGAATTCTGTCATACTTTGGCCCTATAATGAGAAGACAAGATTCTCTGGAAAAGACAATAATGCTGGGAAACATTGAAAGCAGCATGAAAATAGGAAGATCACATGCAGAATGGATTTACTCCCTAAAGGAAGCCACAGCTTTAAGTTCGCAAGAGTTGAGCAGAGCTGCTGAGGACAGGACCTTTTGGAGATTGCTAATTCATAGGGTCACTATAAATCATGGGTGGCTTGATGTCACATAACAACAAACAGGGGTTTGTGTCACTCAGTGTCAGGATTTGTTTTCCTTTCATTGCAACTGCTCCATCGTCCCAAGAGCAGCATTTAATCTGCCTCTCTCAGATAGGAGCCATTCTGTTAAATGCTAGAGAGCTTGTAAACGTGATGCTACGGATGTTGAAGGATGAATCTACTTCCATGAATATAAGAAAATCTTTGTTGGATGAGATCAAAGGCATCATGTGTCTTGGTTCGGCATCCTATTCTCCACAGTAGCCAACCTCCTGTCTGAGGAAAACCCACAAGGAGGACATGAAGATCGTAGACTTCTCTTGGTGTCCTTCACCAGTCACCGGCATCCTATTCTCCACAGTAGCTAACCTCCTGTCTGAGGAAAACCCACGAGGACGTGAAGATCATAGACTTCTCTTGGTGTCCTTCACCAGTCACTGGTATTCAAAAGCGCATTGCCTCTAGTTCTATTAGCTGCCATGACTAGGAGGCACAAGAT